ATTGTTCTACGAACAAAATTTTCAGCTATTGAATCATTATAATGTATGTATTGATATGTGGGATTAAGACGAATAAATGAATTAGCAGCAATATTGACATCAGATGAAGATTTTGATGTTTGAATTATATGTTTTGGAATATTTGGAACATAAATAGGTATACCTGACCATTGAATAATTTCTAGTGAGTCTGTCTTAGAAATCGAATACCAATTAAACAATTGCCATAAGATAAATATTAAGATTAAAATTCTACTTAGTAATGATAATCGAAAAGGATTACGTCGTATTCGACGTAATCTTACCATTAATATTCACGTCAATCTGGATAATATGTATATTTTACATATACCGAACCGATGCTTACGTAGAAGAAATAAAGAATGAACGGTAATGAAGCGTAACGAAGATACAAGAGAAGAATGATGAATGAAATCAATATATCTCAATGTAATGTTTTGTTAAATTGATAGAAAAAATCGTATCATATATAAAATTATTTTTCAATCAATAATTCATATATGTAAGTGTATACAATCAGTGCGCATTCAATATTTGTTCATTTATTTGATTGTTTAAGTTAAAACTTTGTCGTTATGAATTAAGATCAAAAAATATGTGTATCATTTATATAATTTTTTTATCGATAAACTTGACTTTGTTGATTAAATAAGACTTCATGCCTTGTATTGAATATATGAATGAACTTATTACTTGTTGTTTTATAAATAAAGGAAGTTTTGATGCAAGTGACTACAATCTCGACGTTTCCACTAATTTCAATAGTCATTAACTAGAGAAATAACATCACCATCACCTAATGTTTTGTTTTTATTAATAAACATAGAATAATTAATTTAGTAAGAAAAAATGTTTATAAATAAACGAAATTTTAATGTGAATTTTATTCAGTGGAAACGTCGAGATTGTAATCATTTCCATCGAAATCAAGCATAGAATTTCGTTTATTTGTAAACATTTTTTCTTACTAAATTAATTATTCATTGTTTTATTTTACTTTCGATTAAAAGTTCTTACAAAAAGAGAATACATTCTCACCAACTATTATATGTTTCGTCATACTTATTTTATAATATTTCAATTCACAATAAATATGAAATATATAGTAAACAGTAAGAAAACTTTCTTGTTTCTGATAGTTATTATATATTCTATGAAATCTTAAGTAGATAATGATCATAGACAAGAGCAACAAATATTGATATGCATTTTTTCTTTTCTTTTCTATCATATTACAATATTATCGTTTACGCATTTGAATTATTAAAGTTGTTTACGTTACATATATCATAAAACAAGTATAAAAAACTAGAAAGAAAGATGATGTTATTTATGAATGTATGACAAAATAAAGATGTAAACCAAATTTCTAATTATAAATTAAAGAATATTTTTGTATAGAATGCGTATAGTACTAACATCCATGTATACTGTTATGTCTGAGTTTCCTTTCTAGAATAAATTGTGCTTAGAATCTATAAAACAATTTATTAGAGCGACGTTTTATTTTGAAAATATTTACAAGGAAATATAAGTAAAGTCTTATGTATACTTTAAAACGATCAAGTTTTCAAATAAAATATTGATTCTTTACTTCTACGAAAAAAGAATCGAAGGGGATAAAAAAACGACGTTTTTTTTCTCTTACGGCTTCAAAAAAAGTCGTTTCTTCATTTTTATCATAGTATATTAACCTAAAAGAATCTCTATAAAACATTTATTTCTTCATTCAAATCTCATAAAAAAATTCCATGTATTTTTGGGATATACTAGAAAAGAAATGTAAATACTCTCATTTATATATAGACACACGTTTAAACTTGAATAAGAGAATAAACGAATGGATTTTACAATATAATAGTGGTGTCATTTGATGCTTTTTCTCATCGTATAAAGACGATGCACGTGATTTATACTTTAGTTCCGATTAACCTTTCCTTGTAGGCGGATATAATTTAAAAAATATATTTTATTACAATTAGTTTAGTATCAAATAACAGTCTATACTTAAATCAATAATTTCTTTGATCATCAAATGAGTATTATCGTTCAAAATACCAAAAAACTGATGTATGAAGTCAAAGATTAAACTACTAAGAATATCATACAACTATCACTATTTCTTTTATTTTTAAACTATGCTCTCGATTTTCATGATAAATTCAAATCAGTTTATCATAATGCAGTTAACTATAGTGACAAAAAACAATCACTTATGAATATTCATTGATGCAAAACTGTTTATTGCGATAGTTAAAGTATCTATTTAAGACGTTGTATAAAACTGGCGTGTAAAAAAAAATGAAAATCGCAAAAGTAAAGTTTTATCTTCAATATCACATGAGATTCTGCGAATCTTAATATGACACAAAATAATTGTTTTTATTGTTATTCAAGATACTTCGTATTTGTCTATAGATATCAATATCATACATCTAGGTCGAGTCTTGATTAAATGTAGACGAAAATAGTTTTTTTCGTAAATAATCCGCAGACGTAAACATATTTTTGATGTAATTTAATCGTTATAAATCACTTTTTCGATATATATATATACCTACGTAAAAGATTTGAAATAAGTTAATCAAGATCCGTGAAAAGATATTCCAAATGTACTGTAATAACATTGCTTCTGTATTTTTTACCATTGTTTGGTTATGTTCAATGGGAGAATGTGCCGTTTTACAAACATACATCAATGGTGAATATAAAAGTATGTTCATATTAAACTCTTTAATTTCTAGGAATAAATTTTCTCATTTAAAAGATAGTGTATCTGATTTGAATTGTAATCAATATAATAATGATTATGATATTATTCGTCAGTTTCCTTTTCCACTTTTGATTAATCCAGTTGAATATGCATTCAATAAAAGTGCAGCTGTTATGTATAAGAACAATAATGCATCAATTCAAGAAATTTATATTATGGATGAAGAAATAATTCCAGCAAGTATATTTTGTTTATCAAATCTTGAAGAATTAACCATCATATCGACACCATTTCAAAATGGTATTATTCCTGATGCTATAGAAAATTTAAAACAACTACAACAGCTTATGATTTATGAATCACCTATTAAAAAAATAACAGAAAAATTGGTAACACTTCCTAAACTTTTAACGTTACTTTTAAGCAATTGTTCATTAACTTATATACAAGATCTTAGTAAACTTAAAACACTTGAAATGCTTGAACTTTCAAATAATTATTTGACGCATATCAATGACGTTCCAGCTCTAGGATTATTGAAACTTGATGGAAATCTTTTCAAAGAAATACCAGTAATAAAAAATACGGACAACATTTGGTTCTTAGATATGAACAAGAATCCTTTGATAAATGCTTTACCAATTTTATCGTACAAAAATGTAAGATATATCTTTTTAGAAAATGCAACATTAACATCTATTCCACCTACAATTGATAAATTACAAAAAATTGAATATCTACTTTTAACGGATAACAAAATATCATATCTTCCAACGAATGTACTTAATTTACCTAATCTTAAAGAATTTTCTATTAGGAATAATTTATTATCATCGGGTGATATGAAATTAATTGAAACAGCATTCAAAAAATCTCATCCAGATTTATATATATGTGTTTGATGGATATTCCAAGCAAAGATATGGAACTTTTCTTATCGATGTAAAACTAAAATAATAAAAAAAAACTTTTTCGATAATCTTATCTAATAAAATAAATTTTGCAATTGAGAGAAAAAATCAATTTGTATTATGTTGTTTTGATGATTAGTTCAGACTTTGTTGTTACTATACTGAAATGAGAAAAGAAATACTATGAAGTATCGGATTACTGTCAATCAGTGTTTGAGATTAGTAGTAAATAAATCAAGTTTGTTTGAAATTTTAGTAATATTGATTTTATTCTGATATGAAATAAGAAGAGGAAAATGAGATTTTGATTGTTTTTATTTTTTGACGATCGAACATTGTTTTCTGATTATTTAGTAAATATTTCAGTTCAATGATGTAGACAACTGGTTATATTTAACAAACTTATATATATATTATTCTAGTTTCTTAATTAATCTGAAGTATAGAGAAAGTTTCTCATTGAGAAAGATTTGTTAAACTCGACTTTATTTTTCTAAATTCAAGTTGTCATTCATCTACTGATTCATTCACAATTATCTTGAATACGAATAGCAAATAATAAAAGATAAAACATCAATTCAGACAAACATTGTACATCCATGCTCATTTACTTTCGAGTTGGTTTTTACCGTCTGATATATATAAAGTTCGATTTTTGCTATTAATAAATCATGAAAATTACGTTTAAACGTCTTGCATTCTCACATTCTGCGAGGGAATGTCTCCAGATGTGTCTCAATGCGTATATTCTTCATTTATTCGCTGTACTATCTCGGTTTTCGTATATCAATTATGTGCTTTCAATATTGTTTTTGATTCGAAAAGAGCACGTGATAATCTTTTGTAATCTCTAATATATTATATTACAGTGCTTTTAACACAAACTTGATAAATGTTAACAATTTTTCTTCGGTAAAAATCCATCATCTAGCAAAGCATATGAATAGATATTTTATAAGATCTTTTCAACTGTAAGTTTTTACAGATATACTTGTGCCCACTAATTGATTCGCATTAACTTGCTGAATTATAATCATCATCAATCGAGACATGTAAATTTTTATATAACACTAATATTATATTGTTATTCTTGGTATAAAAATTAACAACAAATACAGCATAAAATATAGTTTCGATATCTGTCATATACAAGATAACGTTATAAATGAATAACGAAAAAAAAATAACTTTAAAATAATATGTCAATATTGACAATCCACTTGTATTTCTTATCTGTAATAATAAAACTAAAAAAAGTAGTGACAGCGGTGAGATTCGAACTCACGCCCTTTCGGACCGGTGCCTTAAACCGGCGCCTTAGACCGCTCGGCCACGCTGCCTATTTAATCCGTCAATAAAAGTAATCGAAATAATAACCGTATGACATTTATTATCATGATTATATATAGAATTAATTTTACTTTGAAGTTTGAAAAAATCTTATTCCAAGAAAAAATTGATTCTAAAGTCAATAACTCAATCTCATTTATCCTTTTAAACGAATTTTCTCTAAATGTCAGCAGACACATGTTTACGAAATATTCATGCACTAACTGTAATTTTGTTTTATTTTTAGAAGAATATTTTAGCAATTTTATTTTATTCAAGGTCCATAATCGTAATCGTTGCAATAATAATAATATCGTATGTTTTTAATTCATCTTTTTTTTTGTTCTATGGTTAGATGAAGAACAAAGGAAGTGAAGAATTAAAATCAAATACTTGATAATAACTATGTTCCGAGTAAATGAAAGATTCTTTCCTAGATATAAAAAATACAAATGAACCATCACTATTGATTGCATATTTTTAGAAAGAGTGCCTATATTTATTCTATGACATAGATTTTTTCTTGTCGATATAATGACTCATAAGTCTTGACTATAAATGTTTTACGTCAATCGTGTGAAGAATAACAGAAAAGAAAAAAAGAAAAATTATATTAACAAAAATGTAAGTGTCTTTAATAGATTTTATATACATTCAACTAATGTATTGTAAATACTTACATATAGTTTTGTGTGATGTTATGTATTCTCTCATATTCTATATATTTTTCGAGAGCAAAATGTGTTATATTAATTGTTTACTTACATGGAGGAAAGTTTTAGTACTTTTTCATTGAACTAAATATATTAGAGATGCGACAATTTAAAGATTTACCTATTATTTTGATTTTATACCTTTCTTGATCGTATTTTAAAAACAATAATAAACGTGCAAATATTTATTTTTTACTAGTTCTTCTTTTCTTAATCGTGACAAGTTGTTTTTTTGCGAGCATAATTTTTATATTTTGTCTATTTATTTGCAATATTTTTTCTTTCGATTTACGTATAAAGTAATTTTTATTTTTTATTATATTGCAGTTGATCAATAATGGCCTCATCATCACAAACAATTTGCTCTGAACGTACGTCAACTGCAAATTATAAACGTAATGGTTCTAAGAAAACCTACTGTAAATTTCATAGTAATCAACAGCAAAAACTTCTTGATGAACAACTCGATTGGTTAACTGTCGATCATGATGATCTACAGCAGAAGCTCTTAGATCATGAATCAACACCCAACTATCATCCATCAATGTCTGTCATAGATAAATGGGAACAAGAGTCTATAGCACGTATTCAAAACATAGCAGTGCTTGCTCGTCGAAGACTTCTTGAAGTTTTAAATCAACATATGGTGGAAGTGAAAAACGAATTAAACACATTAACACCAAAAATGCGTGAAGCAAGGAATCGTATTAAACCTTTCGATGACACTAGTATACAAGAATGGAAAACTTTATTACAGAATTTGAAGAAAGTACCAGACTATCCTGTCATAAATGACGAAAGCAATATAATATACGGAGTGACTATTGATACAAAAAAGAAACAGCAAACTTTTCAAATCGATCCTAATCCTCCTGTTGAACCACATGCACCTGTTTTAATTTCTAATGCTCATAATATTTCTCCTTCGATATCAAAGAAATACGAAACTGGAGATCAAACAACACGTGCAAGTACATCAACATCTAAGAAAAACGATGATAGTAAAAGAGTAACAATCAATAATATTACTTCGACCCGATCGCACAATGTCACGCCAGGAGGAGTTCTCATTATTAGAGAAGAAGAAAAGAACATTACTCCACCTGTTGTTACACCTGCTTCACGTGTTCGACGTGCTCATGCTGAAATTCCATTCGATTCGGGAACATATTATCCGCTTCGTGGACCAGCAACTATTTATGGATAATATGAGTAATTGACATGTATCAAATATATTATTTATTCGGTAAACTTTCGATTTTTATTAACCATACATCATATTTCAAAATTTTTGTAATAAATAAATGATATTTTCATATTAATTTGGAAATAAAGATTATAGATGTTCATATGTAATGACGCTAAAGAATTATTGATAGCCATCTAATATGCTGTAGTAATGAAGAATATCTCTTATAAAATGATTTAAGTTTGATTTAAATCAGCTTTTCCCCCTTGTACAAGTATCTATAATCTCTGACTGAATTTGTCAATCTTTCCAGTAAATACAATACTCTCATTTATTACAGACATTTTTAAACCATTATATATTTTATTTTTCAACATACTTTTATTCACACTTTAAAACTTTTTACGAACATACAACAGAAGAACAAATTAGAATAAATTAGAACAAAAAATATATTTAAGTACGAGTGCCACTTCTTTGAGTATTTGGAAATACTTGATTCGTACGTATACCACCAACGACCTCTTTGACAGAAACCATCAACTGATTTCGAAATCTTTTTGACAAACAATAACAATAAAATGAACTCTGAAAAAAATGAGAAGAACAAATATTTGTTTTGAAAGTAAGAAGAAGATAATTTACCGCATATGGGCCATATGAATAAGTAGCAGCAAATGAAGCAATTAACTGCTCCACTGCTCGCCTATAAGTATCTTTAACTACATTCGTTGTAATCGCTGAGTAGATTAGCCAAGTTGCATTTGGGCCATTAAATACTAATACAGCAACTATTTGAAATAATGCCATGCTGATTGTTTGTCTTGTAAGAGAAGAAAGTGTTCTTGTTACAGCGATAGTTTTCATATGTCGGACAGTGAGATATCCAAAAATAGAGATCACAATAATAGGAATAATAGTATTAATACAAAGAGCGGTAAAATAACTGCGATACTGAGCATAAATTGTATTAGTTGTGATACATATGGGGGTACCTCCTACGATAACAAGATCTTGAAAGATGAAGTAAGGTATCTCATGAATACACCAAAAGCAAAGAGTACCAATGACTAAATATCGTGCTATTCGATTATTACTCTTTTGTCGTACGCCAGCCGACGGAGAAGAACACATGAAAGCATCAATAGCTTGTAAGCAAATCAAAGTATATGTACTTTCACTATTAATATTGCTAAGTCCTAGGCGAGTTTTACACCAAATTCTATTTATTAAAGTAAAATCTGTTTGAAAGCCTGTAGTAAGAATTCGAGTGGTTAGACCAGCAAGAAGAATGTACAGATCAATAAAAGTACGAACAAACATGTAGAGTGAACATGCATTGTGTTTGTAATTTCTCACTTTAATGAAGACTTGAATATTAAGAATATTTCCTAATACACCACCGATCAACAGAATAAATCCTAAAATAAGACTTGGATATCGAAAAGCACTTTGAATTTGAAGAATTGCTAATGTAATGCTTGTGTTATTGCTGGATGACATGGTCTCGTTCCTCACAAATACTTTTATCTAATGAGTGAAGATGTTACTTTGAGAACATTTTCTTTTTTATTATAGCCACTCGATAAGGAACATTATGACATAGGAAGAGAATTAGATTTTTCTTTGCACTAAAAGTCCACTGAATTATTTCTATGAAAAAAAGAGAATGAATTACACTCGTTTTCTGTTAAAGATTACAAAAAATCTTCGTACAAAGAATACAATCTTTTTTTTAATTAATTTGATTAGAAATGAACGTGTAGAATAACAAAATTTATGAGAATCTACTCAAAAAAATTATTGTATCAAAGGACTGAAGAGGGTGTTAGATTTAGCAACCGGTAATTCTGACATGCGTCCGGAAGTGATCTTCTTTCATTTTTTCATTAAGTCAGCTTAGATTTTTCTCTGTCCAGATTTATTTATATCCTTATTATTTCCTAAGTCGAAGCGATGACATGAATTAATAGGAGAAATTGATAATGAATAACAAATTTTGGATGTCTGCTAAAACTATTAATAGAATGCTTTCTTGATCATCATAAGAACATTTACATGTAATTTAATCGAGGTCATAATCACAAAATCCAGTGTCTTAGCGCATTCGTTTTGAATTATAAATTAATTTAGTTGACATAGTTCACTATTTTATCTTGGTTAGAAGTTCTATTAAATTGTATGATTTATATACTATTTTTCAATTAATGTTTGCTTTTATTGAGGCTATATCTCGTGCCAGAAATGACTAAAAATTAGATTATAATCGATTGTTTTCTGATTAAAGAAAATTAAAATCTTTAAAAATCAGTGAGTGATATATTAACAATTTGCTACGCTTTCACCAACACCCATCCTCGGAGACAGATTTCACCGTTTATCCATTCATAATATTCAACAAAATACTTTCATAATTTGCTTGGCCTAATAGATAAACATTTAATGCAATTTTAGTTATCATTACAGCTATTTTAACCGAATCGATTTTTGTATTTATAACAGTTATATAATATAATTTCTATACTTCAATACTAATGATCTTTTAATGATTCACTGCTATTCACATTAATCATTCAATTACAACAACAAGACTTATTTTAAATCTCTTTTGCAAATCAATTACCCGACCTCAATACATTATATACCCTCTGTGATAAAGACACAAGTACCTAAAATATATGACTGAATTTTCCGATCCTTCTAGTGAATACAATATTCTCACTTGTCACAGTCATTTTTAAATTATCATATATTTAGTTTTTCAACATACTTTTTTGATATTTTAAAACTTTTTACGAACAGACAACAGAAGAAGAAAGTAGAACAAGAGAAATGATATACGAACAACAAATATATTTAATTGTCAACTTATGTCTATAGTTAAGTACGAGTGCCACTTCTTTGAGTATTTGGAAATACTTGATTCGTACGTATACCACCAACGACCTCTTTGACAGAAACCATCAACTGATTTCGAAATCTTTTTGACAAACAATAGCAATAAAATGAACTCTAAAGAAAAAGAGAAGAACAAATATTTGTTTTGAAAATAAGAAGAAGATAATTTACCGCATATGGGCCATATGAATAAGTAGCAGCAAATGAAGCAATTAATTGTTCCACTGCTCGTCTATAAGTATCTGTAACTACATTTGCTGTAATTACTTGGTAAATTAGCGAAGCTGCATATGGAACATTAAAAACTAATACAGCGAATATCTGAAATAATGCCATGCTGATTGTTTGCCTTGTAAGAGAAGAAAGTGTTCTTGTTACAGCGATAGTTTTCATATGTCGGACAGTGAGAAAACCAAAAATAGAGACCACTATAATAGGAATAATAGTATTAATACAAAGAGCGGTAAAATAACTGCGATACTGAGCATAAATTGTATTAGTTGTGATACATATGGGGGTACCTCCTACGATAACAAGATCTTGAAAGATGAAGTAAGGTATCTCATGAATACACCAAAAGCAAAGAGTACCAATGACTAAATATCGTGCTATTCGAATATTACTCTTTTGTCGTACGCCAGCCGACGGAGAAGAACACATGAAAGCATCAATAGCTTGTAAGCAAATCAAAGTATATGTACTTTCACTATTAATATTGCTAAGCCCTAGGCGAGTTTTACACCAAATTCTATTTATTAAAGTAAAATCCATCTGGAAACCTGTAGCAAGCATTCGAGTAGTTAGACCAGCAAGAAGAATGTACAGATCAATAAAAGTACGAACAAACATGTAGAGTGAACATGCATTGTGTTTGTAATTTCTCACTTTAATGAAGACTATGATGTTAAGAATATCTCCTAATACACCAACGATCAATAGAACAAACCCTAAAATGAGACTTGAATATCGAAAAGCACTTTGAAGTTGAATAATTGCTGATGTAATGCTTGTGTTATTGCTGGATGACATCGTCTCGTTCTTCCGAAAAACTTTAATGTAATGAATGAAGGTGTTAGTTTCAAAATATTTTCTTTTTTATTATAGCCAATGGATAAAAAACTTTTGACGTAGAAAGAGTATTAGCTTTTCCCTTTCAGTAGAAGCTCATTGAATTAATTTTATGAGAAGAAAAGAATGCAGTACACCCATTTTTATGTTAAAGATTATAAAGAATCTTCTCACAAAAAATGCAAGAAGATTTTTTTGAATAATTATATTAGAAATAACAATGTAGAATAACAAAAAGTATTGTATTCAAGCCAATTTTAAATTCTGAATGTTTAAATGAAATTCAGTTTTTTTAACAAATTGCACCAAAAAATATTCTATTAAACAACTGAATACCATATTAGATTTAGTAAGCGGTAATTCTGATATGTTTTTTGAAGTAATCTTCTTTCATTTTTTCATTAAGTCAGCTTAGATTTTTCTCTGTCCAAATTTATTTATATCCTTTTGTACTTCCTAACTCGAAGCGATGACATGAATTATTAGGAGAAATTGATAATGAATAACAAATTTTGGATGTCTGCTAAAATTATTAATAGAATGCTTTTTTGATCATCATATGAACATTTACATATATAATTTAATCGAGTTCACATTCACAAAATTCAGCGTCTTATCATTCGTTATAAATTACTTCAGTTGAGATAGTTCACCTCTTTATCTTGGTTAGAAGTTCTATTAAATTGTATGATTTATATATCACTTTTCAATGAATGTTTTTTTTTATTGCGGCTATATCTCGTATCAGAAAATGACTAAAAATTAGATTATAATCGATTATTTTCTGATTAAATGTCGATTATAATGGCATGATTTTGATCAGATTTTTTATAGTTTAATCGATTTTCTCAAAAATAAAATGACTTGAAATCTTCAAAAACCTCAAAAGTCACTAGATGAGGGAGTAAGTGAGGACTGAGTAAATGAGGATAACTGTAGAAGTGTGGATGATACATTAACCAGTCTCCCTCATCCACATCCATAGATTACAACCAATTTAGCCAAGTAGATTTCTGCATTTGTAACAGCTATCTAATATAGTTTCCATACTTCAATACTCCTGATCTTTTAATGATTCAATTATAATAATAAGGTATATTTTAAATTTCTTTTCCAAATCAATAACCCAAACTCGATATATCACACAACCTCTGTAATAAAGATACAAGTACAAGGGAGGTAAAGCGGTTTATGATTTTGTGATTTAAAATGATTTTTGTCTGATTTAAATCAGCCTTTCCCTCATTGAATTGTGTGCTTTGTTTTTATAGCTATTCGCTTTCATTTTTTGCACTCTAGACTTCATTGCTGTTTATTTTTCTCATTATCTTTCATTTCATTTAATCTTTTGAAAGTAACAATATGTACATAAGAAAACTTATAGAAAATATTTATGTGACTGATTTAGGTTATTGTTTATATTGAAAGTCAATATATGGTGATCCAATCTGAATGATTTAAAGTGAATACCAGTTCACTTGAAATTAGAAATTTGAGATATTGGAACAATTTGATTACGTTGTGCAGTTGTTTTGAACAATATCTTTTCGTAACATTTTTGCCAGATTTTCTTGAATAATAAATAGTTTATTTGTCGTCGAAATCGATTTGATGAGAAACAATATAAATAGAATGAACCCTAAAATAGATTTTAAATAAATTGTTTTTAATTTCTTATACAACATACGGCATAATTCAAATAATACAAAGTACTAGTAATATTTGTGATTAATTGTTCCACAGCAATTCGAAGTGAAGCATTTGCATTATTGGATGTATTTAGAGTATATATAAAAAAAAGTCCAAAAGGAATCGAAACAATGAATAAGTATAGAACACGTATTAAAACCATTGCAGTAAGTTGTCGATCAAGCCTTCGTCGAATAATTGGTATTTGAAGTCGAATTATATGACGGACATTTCGATACGAAAGTATACTAAAAACTGATGCAGTTATAAGAGGAATGACACCATTTAAAATCGATAAATGAACAAATGAAAAATAAAATTTAAAACCTTGATTTAATATAGTACAGCCAGTTACCGATGTAATTTCATAGAATATTCCAAAAGGAATACTGTATATAATCCAAAAGGAAATATTTATAAAAGTTAATCGTTTAGATAATTTCAATGAACTCATTTGTCTCAAACGATAATAATGACTTGTTGATAAATATTGATCAAAAGATGAAAAACATACTGTTGTTAATGATATCATCATACATGTATGAAATATCATTGGTCGTATCTTACACCAAACCAGTGATATACTTGTTAAATCATAATCGTAAATATTAAGTTGAATTCGAGTAATAAATTCGATTAATAATGTACCACAATCAACAATTGATGCAACAATTACATAAAATATACATTGATTATTACGAAAGATTTTTAAAGAAGTAAAAGTAATAATATTTAGAATGTTTCCAACAAGTCCCATAATTAAAATAATGAAACTAGAATAAATAATAAATTGTTGAGAAACGATAGTAATTATTTGTACACATGATAATGTTGACATATCTAAATTATCCAAAAAAAATTTATTTTTACAAATCTCTTCTAAAAAAGTTATACTAAGAACAAAAATCTTTTCATGAATGACATATATATATACAATCGAAGAACGTAATAATAATGTCAGTAGTTTCTTATTTCTCATTGTTTATTCATTTTATTCTCTAATGAATACTTTTCAAGTATTTTCAATGAGTATTATAACAGAAAATAAAATATTTATAGATGAGAGTAGCAAAATTTTATTTGTTACAATTCTTTTCTTCTCTGTCATTTTCATTGAACTGACTAATTGACATTATTATTATAAGTAGGGTTGCACTATGATCTTGAGACGTTTTTGTTAGAGATACTTAATGTAACGAAGTTGAAAATTATGAAAAAAATACATTTATTTCTGTCGACAGTCTGTTAAAACTAATTGCATTTAGTCTAGATAAAGCAAAAATATTTATAGAAACAAATAAACGATGTTTTTCTTTATAATGATGAAGATAAAAATTCGAGATGATTCACGTTAAATAGAACATTTTTTAGTACTGTGATATAAGATCGATATAAATACGATAGTGAGTGCGGATGTCTGGTTTATCTTTACGTACATCTATTCAAGCATAAACTGGTATTATTTTCTTCTGTTGTACTCGCTCATTGAAATATTTTTTATTAATACTAGCCTACTTGACATATATATGTCTAAATTAGCTGAATTGATTTCATGTAGGACTTATCATCTCCCTATTTATTAGAGCAATTTTTTGAATCATGCTCTGATATTATATTTATTTCGAAAAAATTAAGTACAACATTTATTTCAGTAGAAATCTGAGGAAAGAGAAATGAATCAACAGTTTTTTTGCACAGAGCTTTTCTTTTGTGTGTTGTACTTACTTTGAAATTTCATACTATTCATTGTTTTTACTTTATAATAATCGTAAGATGAAGTATGACGATGAAAATCTAAAATAAAATGAAATAATTTATAAAATAAATCAAAAAGAATTGGAAAGAAAATAAAAATGGTTTTAAGTAGTAGTCCTAATGAATAATATATGATAAGAATGAGATAATAAATAAAATCATTTATTCTTTTACAAGTTATGATATAACGAAGATGTAAATGGAAAAAACTAAGTTAACCTTTCTTATTTGTTATATTTATTTTACTCTTCAACCCTATCAAGTCCGATAGTGACAACGTATAATTGTTAATTTATCACAATATTGAAATAAAAGGTTGCATCTAAGGAGAAGAAGAAGGACAAAATGATGAAAAATAAAATAGTAGTCACGAAGAATAATAAAGGGAGAAAAATAATAGTTTATTTATGAATCAAAAAAAAAGAATTCAAAATTGTAACGCAGATTTAACTTTTTTTGAGGGTGAATGTGGGTGTGGATGCATCATCTTCTATGTCATTGACACCCACACCAACACCCTTGATGAAATGCTTGATTATCTTCGAGATCATTTCATAATGATGCGACAAAGTGAATGGTTTTTTATTAATAATATTATAGATTCACATAGTGAATATGAATTAAATAATTATGCTGCCATCGCTTTGAAAATTCGCGATCTACGTCTTGATTTGAATAAAACAGAAGCATTAAGCAATACGATTCTTATTCTACTCGGTGATCATGGTTTGCATGGTCATAAATGGAAGGAATTATAGAGAGAATTTGATCATAGAAATCCTTTTCTTCAAATATTACTTGAAAGTTTTTTATTGGATCGAATGATATTATCAAACATTTGAATGAAAACAGTGATAAACTTATCACTCATGGTGATATTTATATGACTTTCGCAATATTTTCTAACAGTTCATTACCATTAGTATTACCAAAAGGGATCAATCTTTTTACATAAAATATATCAGATGATCGCACTTGTCGAATTGGACAGATTCCTGACAAATGGTGTAATTTTGTGATGCCAAAGCTGTGTTCCTAATTAGAAGAGAATATCAAAAGATTTTTTCGATCTTTAAAAATATTTATTAATACAAAACTTATATCACTCCACATGCATTCTAAACAATGTTAACGAATAAAATATTATTTATATGATTTTAATTTTTTTTATTTTCTCGATAATTTTTCTATTTGTTAATCGCTATGTTATTATCTAAAGAAGACAAAAAGATAAAATTTATATGACTAAAAAACCTGGTAATTATTTTTATTGAGTATATTAGAAGAACATGGGTAACTATTATATCTTAAAAAAGACGTATGTTAAGCGTCAGAGTCTGACCTCTTCTGAAAAGATAGATTGGTTTGTTCTTTTTCTTTTATTAGTATGTATATAAAGGTGATAGATGAATACTATCTAAGGACAAAGACACGTGTTAATAAAAGGTTGTGTACTATAAATTGATTATGTCAAAAGAGATTTTTCCAGTGAATAATTTTTGTCGATCGTATTGGATGTGTGATGGTGATAATCTTTCAAATTATCGTTCTACAGTTGATTTGCCAAGTGAAAGTGATATTGTGATAATCGGATCTGGATTTGCTGGCTCATCTTGCGCGTATTATCTTTATAAAAATGCTGATTTGACTAAAAATCCGTTAAAAATAACAATGATTGAAGCTCGAGAGACATGTTCAGGTGCAACAGGACGTAATGGTGGTCATTTGAAGCCTGATGTTTATTATTCATACAAACGATATTCCAATAAATATGGTCAACAAATTGCTGAAACATTAATGGAATTTGAAGCAAAACAGATTGATGCAATGTCAAAATTAGTATCTGAAGAGAATATTGAATGTGATTGGACGGTAACACGAGCTTGTGATGCATATATTGAACCTGAAATAGCCGCAGAGGCTAAAGCATCATATGAACAACGTTGTGCTGATGGTGGAAATGTTAGTGATATTCATGAAATTCCTCCTGGCGATTATCTCTCTATGATTCGAGTGAAAAATGTTTTGTATGGTGTGACATTTACAGGTGCTAGTATTCATCCGTATAAATTGGTTCATCATCTTTTGAATAAATGTGTTGAAAAAGGTATGAATTTGCAAACAAATACTTGTGTTTCAAGCGCAACTCGTCTTCCGTCTGGTGAATGGTCGATTGTGACTTCAAGAGGTACATTAAAAGCATCAAAGGTGATCTTTGCTACAAATGCATACACGGCTGGTATTGTTCCAGTGCTAAATGACAAGATTGTTCCGATTCCTGGTACTGTATGTCGAATTATTCCATCCATAAATTACATGTTGTCACCTTTGGAAATGACTTATTCAATCCGATCTAATGGACATAATTTCGATTATATGATACCTCGTCAAGTTGGTGATCGATCAATTATTCTAGGTGGTGCAAAACGAACTTATATGTATAATAGGAAAATCTTTCACAATAATTGTGATGATTCCATGGAATTTATTAATGAAAAAAGTAAAATGTATTTAGAAGAATTTATGCCAAAACATTTTCATAATTGGGGAAACGATCAAAATGGATGCAAGCAAATGTGGACAGGAATACTTGGTTTTACCTCTGATTTACTACCATTTGTTGGAGAATTACCTGATCAATCAAATGGATATGTCATCGTAGGATTCAATGGACAAGGCATGCCCAGAATTTTACTTTGTGCTCGTGCATTGGCTGATCTCGTATTAGGAAGAATAGACAAGATTGAAGAACTAATTCCAGAACCATATATAATAACCAAGAATCGATTAGAAACGAAAGAAAATTATCTTTTAGATCGTATGGCTATTCAGTCTGATTTAACACATACTTCTTAATATTCATTCTCTTGTTAGTTATTTTCAATTTTGAGACAAAAAATAAATATTAACGGCAAGAACTGAACAGATTGAGTTGAAACTTACGAGCAAACATGTTTAGATGTTCAAGCATTTTAGATCTCATCTTTTAGTGGTAAGTAGATCCCGATGAGATAAGAAAAGTCTCAAAAGAATGCATCCCTTCGTACCTTTGTTCCCGAGTTATGGTCGTTTTACTCTACTTTTGGCTAACAGCAAGGTATTTCGAAAAAATTCTAATGACGCATTGACGGTGGGTGAGGGTTTCTGAGAATCGTCTGTTCACCCTCCCACGCACCCTAACACCCACACCCACTTTAATATCATATTAATACAAAATCTGGAGTTTTAAATACCAACGGCTTCTTGTTTGGCAAGCCTTTCATTTCGTTTATTACTTAAATATTTTCTCATGGGAATATCGTAAATTATCATTACAAAGTACGCTGCTCCAACCAACAGAATTAGCCCGACTATGGTGATGAGAGCCAGTTGCATAGTGCCCGGCTTATGACTGGCGTTATAATTACCAAACATCCAGAACACGGCATAATGTGTCATATACAATGGGTAAGAGATCTCTCCTAAAAATATGCAAACCTTTTTTAAGCTAGGTGTTAACGTAGCCCCTGCGCCCAAAGCGATCAGTAAGGGAAAGTAAAACAGTATAATCAAAGGTTCAGATAACCAATGACATTTTGAGAATGGTATTATAAAGGCAAGAAACAATAATAGGGTTACGCCGATAAATCCCAGCTTGTTTTTGATGATCCAGTTAGAACGGTAAATAAGAAGTCCTGCTAAAAAAGAATACGATATCCGGGCGCTCCCGTCCCAAAAGGTTGGGCCGCTCCAGCCGCCAAATAAATTGCCGGCACGGTAATATACCAAGCAAATACCCACCGACGAGAGTATAGTTAACAGTCGCAGGTAGCCACGGCTGATCTTACAAAGCACAAATGCGTAAACGATATTGGCGACATATTCCCAAAACAACGACCATGACGGTGCATTGAAGCTGAACAGGTTAAAAGCACGGTCAGCTATTACAGGCAAGGGAATAAGCAGTATCGAGCAAAAAAATGTCAGAATGATTTTACTGGTGCTGTACAATTCGGGATGACCGCCAAATGGGTCGAACAAAAATGCCAGCAGGCCTAGTACCGATCCTGCTACAACCAGCGGGTGCAGCCGAATGATTCTTGATTTGAAAAACTCGAGAACGCCCATTTTTGCTATACGTTCGTCATAGGCATATCCGATCACAAATCCCGAAAGGCAGAAGAAGAAATCGACAGCCAGAAAACCGTGTCCGATAAAGTTCTTGCTGTGATCGACATAAACCCATTCCATAAAATGAAACGTTACAACAGCCAGGGCGGCCATGCCTCTTAATCCGTCGAGAATTTCGAAATGCTGCTTTGTTTGCAGAATTACTGGGGCGGTTTTGTTCGTATCCATTTAGTGTATATCTTATCAGCTAGAATTTGATGCGTCAATAACGTCTGACTTGCTGTTGCACCAAGCTATCTAAAATAATAATGTAATCAAATTTATAAATGAGCCGGACAGGCATAGCAATTGTGCAACACCAGGCTTTCTTCTTCACGTGTAGCGAGGACCCAGGGTGAGGGTGAGGGTTTAGATGGGTGAAGAAGAGACACACCCACACCCTCAATTTGCTACCTGTAAATGTAACTTCTGCTCATTCTTTTATAGGTATCTTTCGAAGATCAGGACGTGACTAATCAACGAATCACTCTGTTCTTTAAAGGATTCTCTGCGCTTTCAGAATCACTATTTACTTCCCCATTAAAGTACTGTATCCTGGTCAACATACACTCGAAGTAGTAATCAAAAGCACGATAAGAAAATTGGTCGATTGAAAATATGATGGTATAAGCGTCTCTTTGCCAGGCCCAGTTTTGTTCCTGAAGTAGCAGTCATATCAGTCAAACAATTGACGTAGAATAATAAATCTTTGATATTCTCTTTAGGGCACATCGACAGTAATATATCCTTAAAAAGTTTATTAACTTCGTAAATTCTTCGAAAAATATTTTTTTAGTCTACGGTTTCTTTTAAAGGGTACATTAATGAATCCATTTTCGAAGGGTTTATGAAGTTTATAACCTTTTTTAATGGTGTGTTACTGCTGATATATACTCAAGGGTTTACCTAAGTGCAACGAATAAAATACCGTTCATGGATTTATCAATCGAAGGGATACATAAAATGGTTTATGATATTAATAAATCAAAAAAGCGTATCTGAAAGGGTTTATTATTCAATATCAATTTTTTTTCAGTGATATAAAACTAACATACACTGATAGATAGAGAATTTCACGAGCTTTTGAGCGTTACAATTAGTTTATTAAATGTCGGCTGAAAAACTATCGTTAAGGCAAAAAAACCAAGTCTAACTTTTGCTTACCAAGTGAATAAACGTCTCGAAAGCAGCAGTTTTTCTTGTCAGTGTTTCATGTGATAATAAAAACGCATTTATGAGTATGATTCAAACACGTTGCTTTTTTTTTCTCTTCTTTTCTTCTCTCCGTTTCGTCCCACTCGTATGTTTTTTCTGTCATTTCTTGTTCTTTTCTGTCCTTTCTTTTTCCTTTTATATCTTGTTTCTCCTCTGACTTTTTCTTTTTCTTTGCTCTTTCCTATTCTTCGCCTTTCTCTTCTTTTTTTTCTCTCGGTCTTGTGTATTGTCTGCCTTTTCTTTCCCTTTTTTTCTTCGTCCTCTTTCTCTCTGTCTTCATTCCCATGTCACACATAATAATAGTGCCGAGGGGTTACAAGAGATGGCAACACTGAATGCGATCAGTTTCTCATCTTCCCCATCAGTATTTCGGTACACTGTAAAAAAATAGCGTGAGGAACGTAAGTTTGGATTTGAGTGGGAATGTGTATGTAAGTGAAGGTCGGGATGTAAGTATCTCTTCTCATACTTACTAGACATACTCCACCCATAAATCCATACACACGTAGGAGCGACATTTTGGATTTAACTTTACTTTGAAAAAGTGTTGAAATGAAAGTGATCCATTTTAAAACTCTAACTTAAATAAAGTCCACATAAAAATCAAGATATCTGGAGGGGGTGTGAGTGTGACAAGCTACCATGATATGTTTCGATCTTGCTTAAGGGTGTGGGTGTGGGTGAAATAAATAAAATACATCAACACCCACACCCACCCTCAAGATGTTTTCGATGAAAATAGATCACCACTTTTATAAAAGTATTGAGTTAACACATATAAATTACTTTCATGTTCAAATATTTTAGTCAAACAATTAGTTTACAGAGATCTTTTGTAGGAGTAACTCAATAAAATACCACAAATAGATAACTTCGTCAGAGTTATCTGTAAAGGATTTTTTTGTAGAATTTTATTAAAGGATATGTTATACAAACACACAACATAAATTTAAATGTGAATTATTCGAATGATTATAGACAAGTTAGATTTTGAGATTAATTTGTTACAACTTCAGAAGTATACATCTTGGCATTATGAACGACAAGTATTGGATAAGCGCCGCAAACCCATTTCTGCAACATGGGGTTGTCTATTTGTATGAGCCGTTGCGTGAACTCTTCTCTTCCTTTGTACTAAACTAAACAATTCACGCCGAAATTCACTGAATGTCACTAAGTAGATTGGAAAGTCCAACATAGGATATGTGTACATAATCAAGTTAAACGTATTTAAGATGCGACGACCCCAAACACTTGGAATAAGCCAATTATAGAAAATACCGTAGGTAAGTGTAGATGGTGTATATGCTAAGATGAACAGAAAAGTTGTGAGTATAAGTGTAATGGATATAGCTCGATGTCGAACACGTGAATTTTGTAGCATGGTTGTGTTTCGTAGTCGAATGAGATGGTATATTGAAGCAATGTTGAATAATATCATAAATAAGAAAGGGAGACAAATACCAATGACGATATTCACTCGGGTGTATGTTGGAAAAACAGAAAAACGATTTGAATCTACGACGATCTGTCCACTAGCAGCATCACGGTAGCATACAAATATCAAAAAGAAAAAATTAAAGAGAACGAAAAATATAATGATACCACTAATAATGATGAGCACATTTCTTGATCGATTAAACCAAGTATTAGGTTGAAGACGACTAAGAGCTAAGTATCGATCAAGACACATGAATACGCGCAGCCATGCTGAGCTTTGATTTATAACACGGTTAAAAAATGCAAAGAATTTACAAGATCCAATTGTATAGGAAAAGGCCATGGTAAATCCGTGAATGATCTGTAAATAGTTGTCTAAATTCCAGCCATACACTCCTATCATATTCATGAATACAATTGTGCGCATATAATGCAATACTGGACGTGCCTGTACGTCACGAAAGGTTCGTCGGCATAATATAATGAACGCTAGCAGATTAAATAATGTGCCACAAATAACCATCAAAAGGCTATAATAACCATAAACAGTTATATCACTGGTATAATCATTTGTAGCTACGATACTTGAACTGTTTATATTAGTCTTAACGTTGTTATTGCTGATATTCACCATCGTGCTCAAAAAATATGTCGGATAATCTAAAAAACCATTCATAATTATTTTTGTTACTAAAAAATAGTGAGTAGAAAAGAACATTAAAAATTTTTGATGGATGATAGTATTTTTTGATTGATGAAAAAATAAATATCAATTTCTGATATTTTGCATCAAATTTCTAATTCATTCTGCAGAAAGAAGTCCAATAATAATCAAAAAAATATTAAGTCAGTTTCTTTCACAACCTGCCTATGTAGGTGAGCGATAACATTTTTCTTCTATCCTATTCTACATCTACATTCATATTTACGTCCTCTCGTTCGAGTGGTGTCGTTTTATTCGTATCATTAAATTAACATACTTCTAAATAACTATAAACAAATTTTAGATAAACATCTAGAACTGTTGTATGACCTGCTTTACTTTGAGAAACATCCCTGTTTATAATATAGCTCTCTCATTCTAGATCAACTGCGAATAAAAATTGTTCACTGATCTCTCTAATATAAAGTACAAAAATGAAACCTTCGCTAATGCTTCTTTTTCTTCAGACACAAATATTAATGTTTATCACGAGTTCTGTCAATTTTTTGAAGCGAGAAAAATATGTTGAAAGAGATTAGAACGTAGTTATATAGATATATATATATATATATATAATTACTAATGAGAGAAAAAAAACATTATTATAATATATAAACACTAATGAATAAGCATGAATTCTCTTTCCGCATGGGTTTGTACATTTTCTCGTCGACTTTTTTCTTAATAACGATACCATTGTTAGTTTTCTTTCATTTTTATTTTTAACTCTTTAATGGGCGATAGAAAATATATGTACTACTATTTTTTCTGTTTTCGATCATAGGATTACGGTGAAGTAGGAGCAATGATTTCGATATAAAATACTATAATATTCTATAGACTGAATATATATACATGACTATTTGAGTTAAAATTGAAGTTACACAGTGAAGAAAATGATATATTATGTTTTTATTATTCAAGTGCGCAATAAATAAAATAAACAGTAGAAAAAGAAACAATGTTAGACTTTCAGTGACTCTCATGGCTATGAAAAGAGAATAATCTAGATATATATTTATATAACATATGCACATAATTCGAAGGTGAAAAAAAAGGAAATAAATAAATCCATTTTTAACTTACATTTCATACGGACAAAATGGATATTAACGATATTTAATACAACTATATGAATATATTTTGTATAACAAGCCAGATTCGATGTACGATACTTGGATAATCCATGTTGCTTAGTAATCTTATCAGCTTCGTCAAGTGTTTTAACAGTAGTTAAAAGTTGATATTCGTCAGTTAACATCTTGTATTACTTTCAATTACTTTTTTGACTTGTCATGTGTTCTATTATTCTGATTTCGTATAATGACGATTCAACTTCTTGATGATCAACGCTAAACAGCTCAAACATGTCAGCGTCCTTTAGACTCGAACGAGTGATATTTGTTATTTATAGGTGTGAGCGTGAATTCTATATTCATAATTTATAAGAACAAAGTTATTTTATAAAATAATATATACATCTTAGAGATGGACAAGTCAAGTCAAATTCAAAAGTATATGTCGTTTAAAATTTTTATGCACTTCAGTTTTGGTTTCTAATTTTAGAATATAACAGGAAAATAAAATTAAGAACGATAATTATTTCCACAAAGTATCGATGTATCTTGGAATACAAAAAAGTTTTGGGAATGCTGAAAGTTCTTACCCGTATTCATTGGCTATCTCACTCCCCAATAGTTTCTTTAACGAAAATATGCTGATTCCATCGTTTTACAATAATTAGATTTGTAACCAACTCAACAAAATAAAATAAAATGTCGATATGGACATGAATCAAGAAAGTAACTTTCCATCTTCATCATCCAGTGGTAAACCTAAAAGTGCTCGTGACAAATTCTTTAAAGATATTCAATATCAAAAAGAAAAAAAGAAATGTTTTTTTGTGAACCAACATCGATTATTTGTAATACATTTTTTCTTCTAGTTATCCTTTATTTATTGTGAAACTCCGTTTGAAAAATCATTTTCCACTGAAATAGAATGAAAGTATCATATATTGATCCTTTGAGAATAAAATAAAATTTAATGAGAGCTGGTTTGAATCCTGACTTGACTCAAAAAACCGTTAACCTGCCCATCTCAGGTACATCTAAAGAATGTATGTAGGTAATGAAGAAAATTTCTTTCACTGGTAAAAGCCTATTTTTCGCACATCAGTCAAAGTCGATGAAGATTGTAGAACTGATTTTATTTTATAGATATTATCTCAATGGTTATTTTATTTGAAAAATTGAAATGGTATAGAATGTGTCAAACATTCAATTAATTAAAATTTTATATTTGTCAATGATTCTAACAATGTTTTTGTTCAGTTTAATTAACTGGTCGTGGTAATTGTCTTGTTATTGATGCTGTATTCATTTCAAATTGTTCTCTTGTCATAGTTCCAATACGATTATTCGTATAATTTCGATGATACCAAAATAAGATAAATTGTAGAAAATCTCGACGATAGGATGATGACGACATAAGATATATATAGAAGTTTGATGCATAACTGATGTATAAAATAATATTAGTTATATTAAGAGCCAACGCTTCTTGTGCCAAACGATAAGATGATTTAACCACTGATGAAGTTATAAGTTGATAAATAGCTACTGTAGAAAAAGGTATTATTGGAATAAAAACTGCAACAATCTGTAAGAGTATCATCGAAGTTAAACTTCGTTGAAAAGTGCCACGTATTTGAATACCAGTAATCGAATTAATATGACGATATGTAAGCCAACCAGTTATACTTAATATTGTACCAGGTAAGATGCCAAGAAGAACAGGTCGAAGGATATAATTAATATAAATGGTCAAATCAGAATTAATAATTACGCATGTTTGAGTTATATTGCCTGTAGCACTTTTTACATCAATAATTGTTTCAAAAACTAGTAATGGAATATTACTAGCAAAAATTACTGTAGTAGCAATAATTACAGCAATTTTTGCTGTGCTGAGTTTGCTTCGATTACGCCATCCTACACTTCGGCATGATAGAAAAAATCTATCGATAGAAGCAAAACAGAGACATGTTAGAGAAGTAATAGTTACACTATAGGCAATAAAAAGTCGACTTTTACACCAAAGCATACTAGTTGATGATGCATCTATATTAAAACTTATGGCTAATATTCTTGGAAGAAGACCTTCTGACAATGCAATAATATTAAAAAATGATGAAATAAACAAAAGAAATGATGATGGATTTGATCGAGTTGGATATAAGATGCGAATATTAAGTAAATTTCCAATAATACCAAAAATACATATTGGCAAACCAGCATAAATACTAAATTGACTACTGATAATCGAAAAAGATAACGACGACATTATAATTTAAGAAGAAATGTGTTTCTACGTTTAATAATTTGAATATATGAAAAGACAAAAGTGTATGAGCTTATATCTGGTATATGACACTTGGAATTAAAAACATGTTTTTGTCATTTTATCTAACTGAAGATGTTAAAATTCATTTTAAATTAATTAAAATAGTTAAGCTTGTTCTGAATGATGATAAAATAAATTTGCTAATATGCGTATAAAAAAATTCTAAAATAATCATGAATATATTAGTTTGTTGCAGTATTTCAATGCAAATTAATTCTATTAAAAATCCTTTCAATGCAAACTAATGCTATTTATAAAATCTTTTCAATATACCATGATAATTTGTGGTAGTATTAATTTAATAGATTGAGCTAATTGTATAATAAACCAGATTTTTACTGGCATTTCTACTGAGTAAAAAACAATTATTTTAGATGATATAATAAACTAAAAATAATCTTAAAAAAAAGTTATTTACGTCGTTATATTACTGTAAAGGAGTTGATGATATAATAAAAAAATTAAAAGATGCTTGGGTATATTTATATAATAGATTGGTTTTGACAAGTTTCTTAATAGAAAAAGAAAATGATAGAATATTCTTCACATATTTCGTTTTTTCCAGCTGACAACGTCATCTGCTGACATGTCTATTATTATCGGTTGGATTAGTTTTACGAATCAAGAGGAAAGAAAAGTATTCTTAATATCTTACGAACGAACTGAAAAGTACTAAAGAGATAACAGTTTATGATAATATTTATGTTTTTGTCTCTAGAAACTCATGAAATAATAATTATTTTTCAAATGAGTTTGTAATACTATTAAGTAAGATGATGCTTTAAAACTGTTCTATATCTATTGATTACAAAATTAATTGAAAATATATGTGATATTTCAATTTGAATAATGTCAGATAATAAGAATTTTATAAAAACAAGTATATCGAGTTCTGCTGTAAAACATAACGTAATATCATTTATGTAACATTCAAGAATAAACAACGAGAATATTCGAAGAATTAAATTATTAATAAAGATATGATTTTTATTTTTTCAAAATACATCAAACTCGAGTGTATATAATTGTTAAAGGCATGAAAAACAATTCGAGAACTTTGTACACAATTATAGATAAAAAAGATGAAGTTGACAAAACAATGACTAGAGGTATTCGAGATATCAGTAAAACAGAATTTTATTATCTTTTTTTCTTTTCTTGTCTATTTTTGTAACTCATACTGTTCGTTCTATTATATTAAGCAAGCATTATTATATATTTTCTTTTAATTTCAGAAAAATGCCATCATCATTTTCGAAATCGAATGGTACTTATGCAGCATTAGCTGCTGGAGCTGTTGTAGCTACATATGCTGGTACACATGCATATAAATCACGTATTCAACGAAACTTTGATGATGGAATTGATCTTAAAAATCAAACAGTTGAAATTGATCCTATAGAACATATCCGTCGTTGTACTTTTTATAAAGATATTGATATATTTACATTTCATAAAACAGTTTACCCTACTGTACAAACATTAGGTGATGTTTTTTATAATGGTTATGCAGCCTCAAATGATGGACCATGTATAGGATATCTTAATGAAACAAATAAAGAAGAACCACTTCATTGGATATCTTATTCAACGGCATTACAACAAATACGTCGCATTGGTTCACATTTATGGACAGAAGCTAAATTAACACCAACGAAATCAACAGTTGCTATTATTTCATTAAATCGACCAGAATATTCATTTGTTGAATTTGCTTGTTACATGTATGGATTTACTGTTCTTGCTCTTTATACATCTTATGATCCAGCAACTATTTTATCGATATTAGAAAAAACCAAAACAGATGTACTTGTTGTTGATAATTTAGATCGTATTTCTTCATTTAAAACTCAATTGTTAGAAAAAAATTATATAAAAGAAATTCTTGTTATGGATGAGACAGGAAATAATGAACATTCCAAAATTAAAAATATTCCAAAAATTTTACAAACTATGCAACAAGCCGATATTCGTCCACGACCATATATTGATCCAGATAATATTGCTGCTTATATTTTAACAAGTGGAACAACAGGTGTGAAAAAAAAAATAAAAAATAAATAAAATTCGATTTATATTTCAGGTGAACCTAAAATTGCAATGTTATCTCATACAAATTTTTTGGTACAAATAAAAGGTGGTATTCTTCGTCGAGAACGTGCTAATGTTGCTGCTGAACCTGATAATCGACATTGTTCATTTTTACCTATGGCTCATTTATATGAACGATTAGTATTAATTAGTAGTTTTATTCATGGTACACAAGTTGTTTATTGTCCAGTACCAGAAAAACTTTTTGAATACTATCCATTTGTAAAACCAACAAATATTGCTATGGTTCCAAGGGTTTTAAATAAAGTTTACGATAAAATAATGGCGGAAGTTGGTAAAAG